AATCCTACAAAACCCCAGCTATTAGAGGGTTTCAGTTCATCCATATTGGGGGGAGAATCATTCTAAGTAATTTTTACATATTTTAAAGAAAAGTATCATCCAGCTGCAGATAGAAACAGTTAAAAATGGGGGCTTCTCAGCAGTGCATGAAAAGTGTCCTGGAAATGGTAATGCTTAAGCAGAGCTTATTAAAGCATTCTGAAGAGTATTTTTTAAAAATCAAGTATCAAAGAGGATAGGATTTGAAGTGAAAAAAATTTGTGTGCAGTGTTTTATGTGCAAATCGCACATTTCTACTGAATGATGAGCTGTGTAAAATACCAGAAACAACAGCAACAAAATAATTGAAAGTAAACTAAAAAATGTAGAACCCAAGAAGAAGAAACTATGATCTCAGGTGTTCTGAAAATAATTGTGGAAAAAAAATCTTCCTTTTCTTCATTATCTACTCTGATTCATTTGGGACCAGGAGGGATTGTAGCTGGATTCTGCATTGGAGCTGGAAATGCCTGCAAAGTCAACCCTTGCTGGAATGGTCCGCCAGGTTGGGCAGGAATTACTACAGACTGCTGTGCTGTTCCTGAAATTCCTACCCACTGTACAGGATACCCTGTACTCCCCATGGCACTATACTGACAAACATGGGGCATTCCATATGATGATAATGGCCCAGGAAATGAAGGGAGTGGGAGTCCTTGTGGCAAGGAAGTTGGGACAGCTCCACGGATTTGGGACAGAGAAGAAATCCATGTTGGTGTGTAGCCCATAGTAGATGGAGTATTCTAACAAAAACAAAAATAAAAACAAAAGATCAGTTTATTTGGTTTATGTTTTTATCAATTTAATTCCTTCCCCTTTTTGGTATACACTACGCTTTATTCTTATGAGCTACAATTTCAAGAGCAAATTTCTGTATGCTAAGCATAGTTCATTTCAGTTCATTTTCATAACTACCCTGCCTTGCCAGGTAGGCATTTTCAGAGGCAAAACAGAAGTTCAAAACCGGTAACTAACCTAATAACACTAAGCAAGTTAATAGTGACAGAGGGATTTGAGCCCAATTCTAATTCCAAGGCCCATACTAAATCTCTATTTATATTTCACTGTCTTTTTTTCCTAGTGTTAGCACTAGTCTTTTTTATTTTATTTCCTTCTGCAAGCCCTTAGAATGCTCTCATAAAGTGCCAGAGAATGAAGAGCCCTTAGTAAATACTTTTTGGAGACAGAGAAGCATGACTTATTGTACCACAGGGGAAAGAAACTGGCATATTAGGTGTTAACTCTTTACTCCTTACTCACTATCTTAAAGTCAATATCTCTGTTATATTCTTAGAAAATTAAACTGAAGGTGAGACAATTATATTTTGGGCAGTATTGAGAAAATTTACTCCTACATGACTCTTCTTATAGTGCATCATAATTATTCATTTATTGTGATTACAAAAATCTCATGCATTTGGAAATAACTCTAATGAATGTAAACAATTATCTTGTCATCTCAAATGCTTAGTTCTTCTAATCTTCTAAACTGAATTGTGAAGTATAAACTAAACTTTCAAATTAAGATAGGGTAAAGGATAAAAAGCTTGACTCAAAAATGAATGACAATATCTCTTGAGGTGAAAAAACATTTATTTAAAGTTCAGCAATCTCTTCTTCAAATCAATGTTTTCTTTCTGTTAAATTAAAGTGAAACTAAATTTAATACTTCTTATTCAAAATAGTACATATAGTAAGATAATATCTGTATACAATTTTTTTCCATGCACCCATATACAATCATAGAAATTAATGTTTATCTAAAGGTGATGATGACTATTTCTGGATGGTAGGATTTGAAGGTGTATTTTAAAATTTGTACTTGTTTGTATTGATTAAATTCTACAATGGGAATTTTTATTTTACAAGCAATATTTTTGTTTTTTAAACAAATTTTATTTTTTAAATAAAAATTAGAATTAGAAAAATTATAAATCTCGAGTATTTCAAGGACATCTCCAATTTAAATGCTCAAAACCAAACATGCAAAAAATTTCTTTTTTTTTTGATACCAGGGATCAAACTGAGGACTGCTTGCTTGCAAGGCAGGCACTTATGCTGCTGAAGTAAATCCCCAGCCCCAAGCATGCAATCTGGCCTTACCGTACACAGTCTGGTCAGATGCTCTATCTCACTGACTGCAATAGTATCCAGGTGTCAAAGATGGAAACTTTGCCTTGATACCTCCCCTCTGCCATACAGCCATTCCCCATCACTGAATCTTGTCCATTAAGTATTTCTTTGTATTTGTTCACTTCTTTTCAACTTAGCTTCCCCTAGTTTCGACTTCTATGACTACCTCTTGACTGGCTGGCCAACATCTACCCACTCCCATCCTGTCCTTTTACTTCAGGCAGAGGGATCTTAAAAAAAAAAAAAACCCACAAATCTGGTCATATTAACAAACTCCCTAGGGCATTAATTGCTATCTATCTTTCTTAAAAGCAAAAATTCCTTATAATCACTTTTAACACCTTGTCTTATCTCTTGTTTTGTTTGTTTTTTGTGGTAGTATCTCTCACTATGTAGTTCCGGCTAGCCTCAAGGTCACAGCCATCCTCCTGCCTCAGCCTGCCAAGTGTTAGGATTATAGGAATGTGCCACCATGCCTGACTATATCTACTTCTTTAGATTTATTTGTGCATAGACTCTTCACTCTATTCACTCTAGGAAAGCTGTTCTTCAGTTCCTTTGTTCACTCTTCCTTATATAGGACTTTTACATGTGTTGTTCCTTTTGCCTGGAATCATATTTTCTGCCCCTTTTATCTAGTTAGCTCCTATTCATTCTTTAGATTTTGACTCAATCATTACTTTCTTATGGAAGCTTCCCTTGATTTCCTTTTACTAGGTCAAATTTCCCTTAATATACAGTATCATCCTTTATCTTACTTTTGTAGGTCTTACAATAGTTGCAATTTTCTATTTCCATGCAAGTCTCTTAATGTCTGTGTTACAAGACTATACATTCCACAAGGATAATAACCATAGTTGAATCTACTCATCAAACCTATGTCTAGCAGAGGGCTTGGCCACAGTAAAGGTCTTGGTACATGATTGCTGTGCAAGCAAAAACATCTATATAAGGCTACATAACAGGAACTGCAAGAATATTAGTGAAATGGCCTCTCCACACAAAGATATAATCAGCTGAACCTAAAAAATACAAAAATAGTTGCCATATATAGAGTACCTAATGTAACATTTGTAAAGATACTGTTTTACATTTAATCCTCACAGCAATCCTGCAAAACAGGTATTATCTCTGTTTGGAAGATATAAAAATTGTGGCAAAAGTGATTGAATGATATTTTTAAAGTCACACAACTAGTAAATCACTGAGCTGATGCTGGAACTCAAGTCTGTTAAAAGACCTTTTTTGTGAGAGAGAGTGAGACAGGGTCTCACTATGTAGGCCAGGCTGACCTCAAACTCATGGTAATCCTTCTGCCTGGGATTATAGATTTGCACTACCATATGGGGCTGTTAAAAGATCTTTACCACTTTTACTCACACACTATTTTCTCTTTACCTTTCCTCTGAACATCCTCCCTTATACTGCAATAAACTACCACCAGATGTATAATAAAAGCCTCCATTCACACATTACTCAGAGGACCTCTCACTGATAGTACAACTATATTTCTGTCCTAAAATCTGACTGTAAGGGCTTCCAAATTTTACAATGGTGATGTTATCTGTGTATCAATCAGTTCCAGAAATTAAATACACAGTGCCCACAAGCAAATACTTGACTTACTAGCTTGGAAAATCTAGCATTTGAAAATTTTTACTAAGTATTAACAATAAATATATTTTCATACTTTCTTTTCAAAACTATATAAAACTATAAACACTCATGCATGTACACAAACATAACAGACACGCATATATCTTTTTCAATTATGAGGGTTCATATTCTACATTTTAATAGGCTTACTTATTTCGAAAAACCATTACCAACAGAAAAGTACAAAGTAAAATAAGGTCCAAATCCCACCATCCAGCATTTTCACATCTCTTTATACATTTAAACATATATTTAATGTATATAATTTTGTGTAAATTACATTATACTATATATGCTCTTCTATTTACCTGTCTTCTTCCCACTCCAGAATGCATTATGGACATCTTTCTGCATTGCAATTGCATATAAACTTGACTAAAGCAACTTGCAATAACTGGGAATCTCTTGTTTAAACTCAAGACACCTCTTACAATATTTTGGCTTCCCCAGCTTTCAACTTTTCATACTAAACAAAGACAATTAAGATAACTTACTGCAATGCTGATGTGAAACACAAGATAGCTGGGTCAAAAAACTTTTTCTTTTTTTTTTTTTTTTGTCTTTTTCCTTTTTATGGGTACCAGGGATCGAACTCACGACTGCCTGCTTGCAAGGCAGGCGCTTATGCCGCTGAGCTAAACCCCCAGCCCCAACAAACTATTTCATAAAATGCTACTTAATGTGGTAAAGTCATTTGTTTACATATTATCTAACACTGTTTTTATACTACAACAGATCTGACTAGTTATGGCCATCTAGCTTGGAAAACTTAAAATACTACTATCTAGACCCTTCCTGAAAACTGGCTGACCCTTGATCTAAAAGTCAAGACAAATCTTGGCAAAGATAAAAGACTATGTAATCAAGTCATTTTCTCAACTAACTCAATCTCAACAATTTTCTCAAACTAACTGTATTCTTTGTTTTTTCCTTTTTGATTTTTTGAGACAGGATCTCACTATGTAGTTCAGGCTGGCCTTGAACTTATTACTATCACCTAAGAGGGTCTCAAACTCATAGTAATCCTCATGCCTCAGCCTCCTGAGTGCTGGATTATAGGTGTGTGCATCACCACACTCAGTTTTCTTATAGTACCTATAACCACTGGCCTAAGTAAAATCAATTTTTATGGTTTTAATGCTCGTAAAGAGGATAGGGTATAAAGAACTTACTTCATATATCTTGTTCCAGTTTTCGGTCTCTAATTTTTGTTGACTTTGTTTAAGTTGGTTTAAACTTGGTTTAACAAGAGAATTCCCTACTGTTTCTTTTGTCCAGTCATCCACCAGCTTGTGTAAATCATCAGTGAACATCCCTTTTTTACTGGCTGGAGATTGCTGGCGTGATGTTCTATTACTTTCCACACACAGTGGATCTGTAAAAAACAAACAAAAAACAAAACAGGAAAACTATGAAAAGGAATTATATCTGATAAACAGATAACTCTTTGACAAACAGTGCAGTTAGCAAAACTACACCTAGGGTTCCGGTTGGATATCCAGATATTATAGTTTACCTAGGATAATTCTGATTTAAAGCTGCTGTCCTGGAGTAATTACTAAAAGTATCCCTCTCAAAGATTTCTTGATGTTGGGTGACAAAGTAAATGGTTACTTTAAGAGAAATATCCAAAATTAAGTACCAACTTTAATATTTATATCAGTTTTCTCAGGTATATAAACACTTAGAAGATATAGTACAGTGACAGAACGTTTGCCTAGTACATGAGGCCCTGGGTTTGATTCTCAGCACTGAAAAAAAGAATCACAGAAAGCTTACAAAAGAAAGAACCTTAGAGGTATAATGAAAACTACTTTTGTATAATGGAAAAACTAGGCCCAGAAAAAGTAAATTGACAAGAATGGAGTTTTTAAAAAAAAATTTTACTGGTACATTTGTAATATATAGTGATTACAGTCAGTTTTGGGGATTGATACATATACATATCATATCTTTATAATTTTTGCTCCCTCTACCTGCTGCTTTCCTTTATCATTTCTTCCCCAGATTCCTTTCCCATCTGTGAAATCTTCTTTTCTTAACATTTCTCTGATATTTAGTTTTCTGTGTCTCTGACTTATTTCAGTTAGTATCAATATCTTAAGATCCATCCATTTTTCTTAAAAATGATTCAAATTTATCCTTTATGGTTGAGTAGTACGCCATTTACACATATCACATTTTCTTTATCCTTTCATCTGTTAATGGCATTTTCTTTATCCTTTCATTTGTTAGTAGTCCTATAGGCTACTTTTATGATATAGTTATTGTGAATTGATTTTTTTTGAGACAGAGTCTTGTGCTATATAGTTCAGGCTGGTCTTGAACTCACTATATAGCCTAGGCTAGCCTCAAATCCATAGATTCTGTTGCCTCAGGCTCCTGAATGCTGAGATTATAGGTATGTGCCTTCATGCCTGGCTATATGATGATTTTAGCTCTTTCAGAAAGATACTCAGAATAGGTACAGCTGTAGCAAATAAAATGTCTAGTTTTAGGTTTTTGAGGACTCTCCTAACTGATTTTCATAGTCGCTGTACTAATTTACATTCCAACCAACAATGCATAAAGGTTCCTTTTTCCTTACAATCGTGTCAGAATTTGTTGTTTTCTTAATCCTTGACAATCGCCATTCTTAGTGGAGTAAAGTGGAATCACTGTGTGTGTACACACATGTGGATACACATATGTTGTGGGACTAGTAGGGATACAGTAAGCTACACTCCCAGCTCCAACCTGGTTTTTTTGTTTGTTTGTGGTGTTATTTTTGTTTTGGTTTTTGGTACCAGGGATCACATTCATGACCTCATGTTTGCCGGGCAGGCACTCATATCACTTAGCTAAATCCCTGGCCCCCACTTGTTTTTCTAAAACAATTTTTGTTTTGAGACAAGGTGTCCTAAGTTGCCCAGACGGGGCTCAAGGTTGTGATGCTCCTGCCTCACCTCACAGAGTGCTGTGATTGTAATCATGTGCCATCATGCCTGGATTACATCTTACATTTGAGACAACTACTTAGACATAGGAGGTCATTGTCAAAAGGTTTTGCAGGATGAATAAGAGTCGGGTGAATTAGCTAGAATTTAATTAGACAAGAGAAGAGAGATCTCTGTCTACCCTAATCACTCCTGAGGCATGAAGCTCTTTCCTTACTTCAGTCTGGCCCTCAATACACCTCCAACTACCTCCGAAGCCCAGGAGCACTACTATCTCCTCCAGGAAACACCCTTCCCTCCTAAAGACAAGAGACCCATGATGAGCAGAGCAGAGACAACACTGCAGGGCTGAGTGAAATTTTGGCCAAGAGGAAGTCACAGCGTGCCTGGGCCATCATCAGGCCCTACCCTTTACCTCACCAGGACCTAGAAGCCCCTTAATATTTTTATTTGCATTCCTCTAAAGGCCACTACTGAATATTTTTTCATGTATTTATTGGCCATTTGTACTTCTGAGACGTGTCTATTCATATCAGTTGCCCACTTTTTAACTGGAACTTTTATTGGAGGAGTCTTAAATTTTTTGAGTTCTTTATGTATTCTAGATGCTAGTCTTGATATGCCTGAGTTCTTACAACCAGTTACCAGGAGAGGCAGGCCAGGAACTCTAAAGCAAGGACTCTTGTCAGTGTACCATGCTGACTTGTAACAAACCTAGAAAACTGGAAACATTTTATTTTCTATCAATATTTGCTATATTAAAATTTTAAAAGAATGTGTATTTAGAATGACAGAAATGAGGACACTGAAAGTTTAATCAGCCTCATGAATGCTGGAACGTAAGATGTTCAAATGAAAGGAAATAATTACAGATGATTCTGTCAGTGCAAAATTTCAAGCACCTCACTAAGACTTTATATTAAAATTTAGTACTATTATTCATGCTTATTAAACCATTCTTATAGAAAATATTAATAGAGTTCTAATTTCACTGATTCACAAACCAACAATTTACGGACTGGATCTAAAAATAAATTTTAGATAATATAATTGTGAAATTTAAACACAATATTTTCAGGATTTAATTAGACAAGCATGTGAACATTTTTTGCACATGTTATAGCCATTTTTTGAAGCATAAAAAATTACAGAAAGTGCAAAAGACAATGCAGTAAGTCAACCAAATACTTTCTTTTTCTTTCTTTGAAATAGTATCATTCTATTTTATAGATCGGGAAATGAACATAGAAGGTAAACAAATCAGGTTTATGCTGGGGATAGAATTCAGGTTCCCTGCTAGGTATGGTATCACATGCCTATTATCCCAGCACTCAGAAGGCAGAAGTGCTGTGGGTTGGAGGCCAGCCTGGGGTACATAGTGAGTTCAAAGCCAGCCTGAATTACACAGCAAGACCCTCTCTAAAAACAAAACAAACAAACCAAAAAGAATTCAGGTTTCCTACTGTTACTGTTACATCAATGTTCTTTCCACTGTACCATGATATACTGAATAATAAACTGAAAATTAGATGAAGAAATTACTTAATAAGGAAGAACATGATAGTCTCCACAATTGCTTATATAGTCTTTGATTTTCTATGAACACTTCAATACTGAAAAATTAAATTCAAGGCAGCTAAATATTAAATGGTAATATTAGTGAGAATTGCTTAATAGTATAATGAGTTAATTGGAACATTCACATATAAGAGTTTTATAACAATAATGTGTAATAACTTCAAGCAATCGTGATATACCAGAATAACATACGAATCTTCTTGGAATTGTTAGAAGTCTCAGTGTCTCTACTCTCCTTTAAGCCTTCAAAGGCTCACACAGATAAGTTTGTAACAAAAATATTATTATTTTCTTGTTATCTGTCTGCACATTCATCTAATTCTCTGACAGCTTCATTGAGGGAATAAATAGCACAAAGTTAAGGAAAATTTCAGAGTTAATGCCTTTATAGATTAAAAGCAAAAGATAACTAGAAACATTATCCTGGAAGTTTTGGCCACTTAGCTTCCTTTAGGAACATTTTTGTACACACTCCCTATGGTTTCTAAAAAATGTGTTGCAGAAAGGTAGGTTATTTATTTTGTAGTACTGAGAACTGAACCCAAGACCTTTACACCGAACTGTATCCCCAGCCCTTTTTTATGTTTCATTTCAAAACAGGGTCTTCCTAAGATGCTAATTTGCCCAGCCTGGGCTCAAACTTCTAATCCTTCTGCCTCAGACTCTTACAGCATTGAAAGGTAGCTTTAAATGTCACTCATTGAAGAAAATTTCTATACTAAGGAAAAACACAAGATCAGGACTTGTATACAACTCTAGTGGGAAAAATTATCTGGAATACTAGGATTGGTAGTCAGTGATAGTTGTTGCACTAGGAGCACAACAAGGGGAGGAAAAACTATTAACAAATCAAGTACTATATGTAAATAGAACAGGGGCTAGGAAATAACACTTCTAGGTAAGCAACTGAAAGTTCTATGTGCACACACACACAAAAGTTTCTAAGAACAATTATCATATAAGAAAAAAATGAGAGCTGAATTTTCATCAGCTTAATGATGTTTTACATATGATATAGGAATATTTACTGATTGAAATATTCATATTATACTGTAAAAGACCACTTATTTTTATTTTTTCTTCAATCAGATTTTATAGGTACAACATAGTAGTCACATTCATCATAAATAATTTGTACCTGTACACGATATAACATTTCTTTCTTTTGTCCATTTCTCTACTCTCCTTTAAGCCCTCTGTCCCTTACTATTTACAAAAGCTTTGCCTGTTTTCCCTTATTTCATTTTTTAACATTTCCCTTCTTTCCTTCTCTCTTCCCCTCTTTCTACTCTCTCCCCATTTTGAACATTTTTTTCCTATTTCACAATACTTAATATACATTTAGGTCCTTATTTATACTCTGTTTCTCAGACCAGAGAAACAATGTGGTATTTACACATGCGTGTCTGACTTATTTCATTTAAGAGTATGGTATCAAAGTGCATCCATTTACCTAAGAATGTCTCAAGCTTATCGTTTATGGCAGAGTACTTCTCCATTGTATTAAAAAAACACCTTATTTATTGATTCACCAGTTGATGGGCATTTAAGCTGTTTCCAAGATTTGCCTGTTACAAATTTTGTATTCCAAGCACTAAAAGAAAATAACCTCCAACCCAGAATGATGTACCCTGAAAAATTGACTCTCGAAATTAATGGAGAAACAAGATGCTTCCATGACAAAGATGAACTGTGGGAGTTTGTGACCACCAATCCAACCCTACAAAAAATACTGAAGGACATTCTAGAGAGAGAGAAAAAAAAATACCAGGATTCCAGCAACAGTGGCAGGGAAGCCTCAATGAACAGGGCAGACAGTGGAATGAAGGAGAAGAGTAGACAACAACAGAAAAATAGCATA